GAATAAGCCCCCAAACTCCATTCAGTTCTAGGAAAGGCGGCCTGAGCCAACCTTTGTAAGTCACCTCCTATATCACGCCGCATGCCTTTGGACTGAGTATCTTGACAATATATCTATTTTTTTGTGTAGTTTAAATGCTACAGTCCATTTATTTCAATGTGTGGAGAGGTGGGGGTGATTACTAAAAGTAAAGTATGATGAAGTATCAATGCGAGATTACAGTAAGATGGAGCATTGAGGAAGGATGCACATATAAGGGTTTCAGCCAGGCAGCCACAGCTTCGATGTCATTTTAACACTAGGTGCTCTTTTGCCACTTTATCTTCTGGCTGTATTTCCGACAGGAAAAGAGGATAGAGAAAGAGACAGCACCAAAATCCAGAGAAACATCGCAAATTCATAGCAGCTGCTTGTATTGTTGCAATGGAACATATTGTTAAAAGCATTAAATAGCATAATGAAGAGTTGTGGGTATGGAGGGTTTTTTTAATTTTGTCTGCTTTGATGAAAACAACTTGCTGTACATTCATAAAAATCCACATGCTGGTAGATATTTAAATCAAAAATGTTATTGTGGATTATCTAGACCAGCCTCATTCCTTTTTCATGAGTAAATTAATGCTTTCACTGTATTAATTTGAATATAATAGCTGCTCAGGTACTTTCGTAGTTAGCTTTTTCTAGATGGCATGAGATGTTTAAAGAACGTTTTCTTTTTTTACCTTTGTTGCAGCTGGGTAAAAGCTGCATTGACATCAAAGACTCTCGGGGAAAATGTGTACTGCTTTTTGGATCAATGCTTAGCAAAGTTAATGGAAATTAGCTATGGCAAAACCCAGAAAGGGTTCAGTGTTTGTTTAAACTCTTTCTGTCTTAAACTACTCCCTTATACCTTATAAATGACCAAAGGCTTTTATGGTCCGTGCTACAGTTAACTTGTATTGTTTAACAAATAGCACTTTTGTAGAGGACGATGTATTATATGTGACAGGTTTTTTTTTTGGTAACTTTTTTTTTTTTTTAAAAGTGGCAAAGCTTTTTTAGCTATTCATGCTGTTTGTCTTAGTCGTACTGCTTTGGGTTGTAAAACAGGCAGACCTCACAAACTTACCAGGTCTAATCAGTGCCTTGGTGGAAAATGCAGTCCAACACCAGCTGCCTGATGGGTTGTCCATCTCTAACTCTTTCTACAGCTTTACCAGAAGATTCTTTTTTTTTTTCCTTTCCTAATTAAAACTGTTTCTTTGTAGAGTTGATGAATAAGTTTGATAGAGAAAGGGAGAGTGAAAGGTAAATCTGATGATAGACTACGTTCTGTAGATAAGCTACATGTCAATCAGAATTCATTAGCATGGTGTAAAAAGAGGGTAAGTTTGACTCAACACAAAAGTTCAAGCTAGCATGATCATAGCTGCTCCTTATTTAAACTTGGTTGTTAACGTGAATGTAATAGCAAGATTTCGAACAATTTCTCTGTGTGCATACACTTAATACATTCTGAAAAGGCGTAAATTTTTCATATATGGGACCATGCATTCATACTGTGCATTTCAGGAGGAGACAAACTTAAGTTATCTTCTACCTGTGTGTGAACTGAAGGAGAATGTTGTGGAAGTCCTTGGGCAGCTTTGGAGATGCAAAGTACTAGAAAGGGAAAAAGTTGTTTCACTGAGTGACTGTCGGTGTCTGTGAATATTTATATAATTATCTTATATTCTTTACCCTTCTCCTTTCATGCCCTAGTTTTCATCCAGAATTTTCAGAGAAAAATCTCAGTCTCTGTTTTCATAAATGAATGTTTTTCATAGCGTTGTATGGAAGATTGACTATTACTGTATTGCACATATGGCCTGATACAGAGTATATGTCCTTGAAGCTTATCTATCCCCATTTTTGTGCTGACTCAGACTGACTCATACACTAGATATAATTCTGACTGGGGCTAACATTCAATTTACCAGAGATCTACTTTGCAGTAATATGCTAAAATTGTATTTTTGTGTTTGTAACTGTCATTTATTTGAAGTTTTGTCACTTTATAATCTAGCAGTTGAAACATTTGTTTTGATGCTTACAAAACTAGCAATTTAATTGTCTAGGAATGTATTTTTAGGTCTGTTTTGAGCATGTGTTTATGTTGTTTCGGGTATCTGAGCATGAATTCTGGTCTGGATGCAGCTATTAAAGATTAATTACTGCTCTTTTTTTTTTGATGCTGCAGTCGCAAGACTTTTGTTTTCTGCAACATCAATGTTTATGACGTGAAGGCTGAACAGCTCCTGATATTTTCCTTAGTTCCCATGCCATGGCAAATGGTCATCCCTTCACACAAAGTATTCAGTCTTTTGCAGATTCAGGCACTATGTAGAAAGGCTTGCAGCCTGGGGCCATGATGAATAAGGTATTTTTCCTTATGCAGTAAGGAGACAATATTTCCTTGTGATGTGCTATAATGCTTTTTAAAATTTGTTCTAACAACTGAATGTTGGAGGAAGCGAAAACTTTCTCATCCTTCTTTCACCATCTTCTTGCAGTCTCTGTGCTGCACTCACACCTCAGGTGATAATGCAAAATATAGATTCAGAAAAATGTGAACTAGTATATGGTGGAGAGACCTGCTTTATTTGTATCATTAGAACAACAGTACCAAAAACTTTACAACAGATATTTACGCTTCTCAAACACGAGCAGTAATATTTGCACTGAAAAAAAATTTGGGATTGCATGTGTGTTTAAATCTTTTTTTCATATGGAACTATCTGTTTATTAAGACTCATTGCGATGACCAGTTCTGATCTGACTCTAAAATCTTTCAGTGAAGTCTTATTAATCAACCAAAGCATTAATGAATTCTGAAGTTGTTTGCTGTTTGTTTTGTACTGAAGTGCTTTACTCCATATTGGAACCTATTGGATAGTATTATCCACCCCAGAAGCATGTTGTTACTGTTTACGTCCATCGGCAAAAATTCATAAAGGAGTACATTTAATAAGAAAAGAATTAAAACATAGAATGTATAGAACTGTGTCCAGTTCTGGGCTCCCCACTACAAGACAGACATGGACATGCTGGAGTGAGTCCAGCAAAGGGCCACAAAGATGATGAAGGGACTGGAGCATCTGCTGTAAGAGCAGAGGCTGAGAGCTGGGCCTGTTCAGCCTGGAGAAGAGAAGGCTCAGGGGGGATCTTATCCATGCATATAAATACCAAATTGTAGGGGGGAAGAAGATAAAGCCAGACTCTTCTCAGTGGTATTTAGTGACAGGACAAAAGGCAATGGGCACAAACTGAAATACAGAAATTCCATTTAGACGTAAGAAAATCTTTTTTACTGTGAGGGTAGTCAGACAACAGCATTGGTTGCCTGGTGAGGTTGTGCAGTCTTCATCGTTGGAGATATTCAAAACCTGACTGGACACAGTCCTGAGCAGCCTGCTCTAGCTGACCCTGCTTTGATGACCTTTCTAGGTAACCTCTAGAGGTCCCCTCCGACCTCAATTATGATTCAACACTGCTTTCTATTGTGAAGTCTTCACCCAAACTTCAGTGGCATTGGTGGGAGTTCTGCTAGATATTTTAAAAGCTTTGGGATAAGGATTTGAACTTCTGTATAGAAGTTGTTTGTCGTAACTACAATGTCTTTTTCTAATGTTGCTTGAAAAATTGTAGGTGTTGTTAACTTCATCTGTACCTTTTGTTTTGCTCCTCAGGAGCGTTTCTTCTCACCAAGAATTCGTCGTCGACTTCATGCTGTCCTAGCATCTGTTAGCACTTCAATGTTGATTTTATCAAATCTAATATTTCTTGGAGGAAATCACGTTGGAAAAATCTACTGGAACAGGATCTTTGTGGAAGGCAAGTTTATTTTTATGTGCTTTCTAGATAACAGAACTTTCCAAATATTACCTTGGGTGGGCTGAGCCAGGTTCTTTCAGTGCACTAACTGGGAGTAACTTTTTTCCGTTTCTGTTCAAAACAGTCTAAAATCTGTCTGACAAAATCTAAATAACTGTGCAGGCTGTGTGACTGCAAAGAAACATTGCCCTTCTCCCATCAAGTCTAGAAAGAGAGTTATCAGGCTTCTCTGTCAGTGAAATCACTGAAGATTGAATAATAAATGTGTGACAAGTTAGCCAGGTTGGATTTTTTTTTCTGCCCTGCATTTCATGTACATCAGTAAGAACAGATGTACTAAAGCCAACCCCATAGATTCTGTGGAAGGTTAGTGAATGAGATCTGTATAATACAGCATAATTGAGCAACCTTAAGTTTTTTTTGTAGTGGATCTGTTACCAAACCTTCTGACTATTGAGGACAAGGTTTGAGGACAGGGGAACTTGGGTGACAATATCAGCCTGTGGTGTTGCTGAATAAGCAGTATGCAGCATTGTGCTGTGAGCTGACTCAGGAGACAAGTCCAACTTTAATTTTTTTGCCAGAGCACAGTGTAAGCAGGACCAGTTTTCTTAGGTGGTTATTGCTGCCAGAGCCCCACATTGTCAAATAAAGGTCTTGTAGAAGAATATTTCTTCCTCACGAGGGAAGTACTAGTAGGCTTCTGTGCCTAGAAGTGCTCTCCTACAAAGACCACCACTGTCTATTGCTCCTTCATGCAGTGTTTTCTCCTCTTGTTCCTTGCAGTGGTTCAGAGGTAAGCTCTGGAGTTCCAAGGTCCTACTTAAGCATCCCAAAATAATGAAACTCTTAAAGAGTAAGATATGTACACGAACCGAATGATTTCTCTTCTGAGCTCAAGCAAAAAAAACCATTCAAAAGCAAAAAAACATTCAAACAGCCCTAAGAAAGGTACATTTTTAGCATAAAATATAATGAAGCTTTTTGTTAATACTAGGCAGGGAAGATGGGGTGAAATACTTGCTCATGTTTGGTTTTTGCTCTTAAAACATAAGATTTGTTTTCTGTTTCCTTAAAAAGGCTGCATTTTCTCTTAAATTGTTTCCTCCCAGTTAGTTGGCTAATAGTTTCAGTAGAAAAAAATAGCTGAGAGAATAAGTTTGGAAGTAAAGTTAGACATCACTTCTTATCTATTAAAAAAAAAAGGACTAGTGAAATTATCCATTTCAGGCTTGTAGCTTCATGCAAATTGTTTTCTTAACGCAATTTGTATATTATAAATGGAGAAAGTATGCCTCCCTCTTCGGAAGGGTTAGCAGTTGGCAGAATGCTGGGGTTTGCATCTGATGAAGGACAATGTTTTAGCAAGTAGAACAGTATTTACTTAAACCAGATCAATTATTGATTGTTTTTCTAGGTTTGGTTTCGTGGGGGTTTTTTAATAGTTCTTTGGTCTATTGCTCTGCATATAACTTGAGTACATATAGTTACTTCAGTATTAGGTACCAGGTGTCTAAGATAGGAATAGCAATTAGCTTAGTCATTTGCAGCTTTGTTTCCATGATGTGTTAATCAAATTAACTTTATTTTTAGAATGTAAAAGCTTTTGCTTAGTGCAGCTCATACTCTACTAGTAGAAATCTCAGTGTTAAGCTTTATGTGCCTGTATCCTTAGATTACACAGATGACTGTGAGCATATTCTATTACTGCATTATGGTTCTGACAACTCACATGTACAAACTGAAACATCCACTAAGATTTTATTGCATCAACACTCCTGCTCCGTTGTGGTTTCCCTACTATGGAATAAATGCTGAACATTGAAGGCCAGTCAAATCCAGAAGGACTATTCAGAACGATGGTCTTCAATTTAAAGTAAATTGAAGTGCTGGTCTGTAGGAGATGTGACAAAAATCTACACACATATTTTGAGAGTGCAGTGCTAAAAGATAAAGATAAATAAACTTGTGTATAGTCTGCACTGTTCTGGTGAATCCAATTCATTAATATATTCAGACTAAACTAAATACTACAATATAGACTCTTTGGTCATTCCTTTGTCAGCCCAAGGACAGATGAGATGATCTAGCTGCTTGTCTTCAAGTTTTTGCCATTACCTTCATAAAAAATTAAGTGGGGATATGCTTGACTTGTTTGAAGTAGTAAGGGTGGTGGTAATGGGTGAGTGTTCTGTGGGGCAGGAGGGTGTTTGTTTGGGGTTTTTATTTTTGCACTTTTTTCTGGTGTGATTCAAGCAACATAAAGTTCCCATGCACGAAGATTTTCTCTTGTGCACTATGATGTTGAAGAGCTTTGATTAGAACAGATGTTGACCTCCCGTCAGTGTTTCATGAAAAGTAGTCAAGAAATCTGGCAAGGGGCCCCCAAACCTCTTCTCTACATAATATCCAAATCTGTGTCCTTGCACTTGGTAGACAGAGCAATGTTATAATGTCCAGTACATTACTGAGATGCGCTAGATATGTATCTAGTTACTTTGAGTCAATAATTGTTAGCTTTGGGTTGAGAAGAGGGAAGATACTTGGTGAATTTCAGGTTAAAATATTAAAAATAATATTCTTGCTCTTTTAAAATCTTTTTGATCTGTTTGAAGTTCATCTTAGTTTAGGAAACCTAAGCAGGGTTTTGCACCACTCTAAAACCAAATCTAGAGAGTAGACATTTGCATTTGGAGGACATCTTTACATTCTCAGCAACCTGGGCAGCAGGGCTTGAGAATGGTTGACGGAGGTGGCAGAGGGCTCTGCAGCAATAGTGTGACATAAAATCCCTCTGAGGTAAGGATTAGAGATCAGGTAAGGAATAGAGAGCTGTGGAAACAAAGCTGTTCACCTGCACATCAGCTGCGAAGAACAGTCAGTTCCTTTCCTTTGTTCAAATCCCACAGAATTATGTCTACAAAGATTTGTACATATATGGGTAGGAAGAAAATATAAATGTAAATATAATTGGTATTTGTAGATCACTAACAAAATTAGTCAATAACATATATGCTAAACTCAAGCAATAAAATGCATCTTAGAGCAGAAATTGGATCTCCAGGTTTAGGTGCAGCTTTAGGTGTTGAGCATGGCATTTTCAGGTCTGGCGATGAAATGAACCTCAGAATATCAGTATTTCAAAACCCTAAATGCCCAGCACATAGTACTTTGCACTCAGAAATTGAGTTCTGTTGTATAATATCTAAAAACAGTGCTTGGAGAGCAGCTTTCCATTAGCATGTGTGTGACAGTGATGGAAACTTAAAATGGCTAACTCTTGAAAGGAAGTTTTACTGAAGCTGAAGATTTACAAAATGCACTTCTAGTTTTGCTTTTTGGTTACTGAAGAGGATCTACTGCGTTCTTTTGCAAAGACTGAGTATTATCAAAAATCTATACAGTTGTCTGAGAGTGGGGAGGAGAGGACATGGGTATGAAAGCAGTTAAACCCCAGCACAGCATAGTCAGCACAAGGAGGACCATGCAAGTGAGCTACCTTTGTTATCAAAGCTTTGTGGATTGCTTTCTAGGAACAGGATTTAGCTGAGGTTGTTTCTCACATGTTGTAAGCTTTGGATGCTGCAATGCCCCTTGCCATGCCGTAGGTTTCCCTTCTCTTTTCCCGGAATTCTTGCTTGACTGATGTTTGAACTGTTTTGTAGTGCCTTGGCAGTGCTTTCCACAGCTCCCGTACCACTGACAAGGAGAGTTTCTATTTGAGCATGCCAGGTAGCAGTATTTTTTAGCATTTGCTTTTATCTTGTGAAAAACAAATTAAATTTATCTGGCTTTAAAACGAATTTCTGTACATCATTAAAATTACTGTTGTCAAAATTACGAGAGCGGGGGGTGTGTGTGTGTGTGTTATATGTATGAGTATTTGTTCTTAAATTTGTTCTCAGACTGTTCGGACCAGCCTTAGTGCTTGTTTCTAAAACTTAACTTGGCCCCATAAGTTATTTACAAAGAAAAAAGTTCCTACAGCAAGCATTTGCTTTGACTTTTTTTAGTAAGGCTTTTCTCATATGAGACAGTGTCATTCTAATAAGAAAGCAGGAGAAATGTCTTCTACATAACAAACTGGTTTTAATCCTGTATTCAGAGTAAGGAATTAATACTTCACTTCAAAATGAGAGGCTCCAACAAGGGGGTTTCTCTTTGGAAGGGCGCTCTCCTGGGACCGGCGCTGTGCAATGCTTTTGGTTAAGAGGCTGAATTATCTTAGCAAGCATAGCCAAAGGCATTAAGCTGGGAGGGGACACAAGTATATTGGGTGATAAAAGTATAAAATGATTCCTGCTCTTTCTCTGGTTTGTGAGGAACAGAGCCCAGATCAATGAGGAAAGCGCACGGTGCATTGTCAGGCGTATTTTACTTTGAATAGCTGTCTGAAAATCAGACAGCCATCATTTAACTGAACTATAAACCAGTACTTTAACTACCCAATTTACCTTGCTAAATTGTGAGGAGTGTCTCTCTTGAGGGCAGTTCATCTCACAAACATCTATCTTAGCATGGGATGAGATGCATTGTCACTCTTCACTGAGTTCAGAGGCATTTTGTACAGGCTAGTTTAGATTAGATTGGACGTCCAACCTTTGAGAAGGTGTCCTTTAGTAGACATCCAGCTAAGAGTGAATTTCACCCTCGGTTAGAAATGATTTACCACAGGAGTACAGAATGGCTGGCTGGGCAGAAGTCCTGCAATGAAGGGTACCTGACTGTTCTACCAGATTGCAAACTTCGTGCATCAACAGCGTCATATTACTTACAACAAAAATAGACCTTACGCCAAGATGCATTGACAGCAGTGTAAAATGCATAAAATAACCTCTTCTATGTGGTATTCTGAAGGTTAAAGTTAAAATATGTCCAGTTTTGGTTACTGCAGTTTAAAAAAAAAAAAAACCAATCATCTGACAATTTGGGAGAGGGAAATACAGCAACATGATTGGAAGTCTAGGAGCCATGACCCTGAAATAAATGGCATTGTTTTGGTTTGAGAGGAAAGTATTGAGGGGAGAAATACGTACATAGAAGTTTCTGCAAAGAAAATGTTAACAAGCTGATCTGTATCGCCAGTGAGGTCAGGAGAAGAAAAAAAACTAAAATGTAGCAACGAAGTTTTAGTTGAGGTAGGAGAAACTTTCAAACTGTAAGGCCTGGAAAGTATTGAAACACATTGCCTAGGTAAGCTGTTGGATTGCCATCTTTGGAGAACAGTCTCCAAGTAGACAAAAATCTGTCAAGCAGTGTAGAAAATACTGATTTCATCGTGGTGTAGGAGGAACCTGTGAATGGCCTCCAGACCCATTCCAAGCCGTTTTCTCTAGGTCATTCATCAGCAGATACAGCTGTTTACATGGAAGAGAAATCTGTGTACAGCACAGAAGGATTTTTGTTTGGATTTATGTATTTATTCGATAAGTTAAGGACCATGGTAATGTACAAAAATGCAGTTTCAGTA